TCCACAGCGACAGGCTGCAGAGGCTGTGAAGACGACCGAGGTGGAAAACCAGGAGGGGTCTCCAAGCGCGGTGAGCGGCGAGAGGCCACAGTGTCGTCAGCAGCAGGGTCACCCCCCTCAGCCGGGCCAGCGGGGTATGAGACACACCTGAGGGTGCAGGACGCGAAGGGGGGGGAGGGGGTCTACTGGTGGGTAACCTGGAACCAGGAAGAGGGGTGGGGGGGGGCACCGGGGAACTGCGGTGGGGGAAGAGACGGTAGTAGCAAACTGACTCGTCAAAGGTGACGACGCGGGAGGACAGGACGCGACGCGTGACCGGGTGGTAAAACTGCCACTCAGGCGCGTCGTCATGAAAGCCAAGGAAGACGCAGTGAATGGTGCGAGGAGAGAGCTTGCCCGTGGTAGTATCACGGACAAAAGCAAGCAAACCCCATACCCGAAACGCTGACGCATCGCCAACCTCCCCCGTCCAACGCAGTGTAGGCGAGGTCTCTGGCTCGGAGACACGGGGCCAGAGGTTGAGCTGATGCGCGGCGTATCGGACCGCAAACGGCTACAAAAAATGGGGAGCAGCCGCCTGGATCATGGAGGTGCGAGCAACCTCCATGATCAAGCCAATGCGGCACTTAGCGATCCCATTCTCCTGTGGAGAGGCCGGAAGCGTGAACGACTGGGTGATGCCCTCCTCATGACAAAAATTCTCGAGGAGATCGGAGGAAAACTCACCTCCACGGTCAGAGTGCAGCCGCAGCACCGGGAGGTCCTGCTGGAAGCGTGCTCTCAGCTGGTTACAAACAGCGCGGATCCAAGGGATCAAAACATGACAGACATCGCCCTTGTGCTGCAAGGGAAACACCGTGGTGTAGTGCGTGTAGTCGTCGACGACCAGCAGGGATTAGCGCTCCCGGCGCGGCCCAGATACGGGGGCGGGGCCCCACACGTCCATGTGCAGCGTCTGCAGAGGAGAAGTGGTCGGAGGAAACGAGGAGGAGTGAGGAGCGGTGCGCTGCCGCCCCTCGACGCAGGGAGCACACGGCGGCGCAAGCGACGGCATGAGCGGGGGCAGGGACCTCGGGAGGCTCTGGGGGGCGTGAGTGCATGCAACGCAGACGCTGCAGGGAGGGGTGACCAAGACGGTGGTGCCAGAGGAGAGACTGGTGCGTGAGTAACCGACACGAGCAAGACGCATCAACCTGACCGGACGTGGCTACCTGTGCAGACTCAGTGTGCAGTGTGTACAGGCCAGACCCAGGCCTCCGAGTGAATGTGGCGAGGTGGTCGCCAGTCACTGTGTCCGTACAGATCGCCACGAGCTCGCCCCCAGGAGTAGTGGTAGTGACCAACATATACTGGAGGACGGAGGTACTCACCAAGTTCGTAGCGAACGAGGGGGGGTGGAGACCTGTGAGGGAGCCAAAGGGGGCTGCCGGACACGGGAGAACAGTGGAGCCGCGTGCAACGACTGGGTCAGAGGAGGGGTCGGCCAGGGTGACAGGGACAGGTGCTGTGAGCGGTGTGACTATGGTGTAATCGCGGAAGAAGCAGCGAGACGCGCCTGAGTCCAGCGTGAAGGTGTGCAAAGCCTCCGCAGGAACTGCACCTGTGCTAGCAGACTCACAAGCACCTACACTAGCAGCCTCTACACTACCAGATCTAGGTACACAAGAATAATAGTCACCCTCAGCACTAGCAGAAGCATACATAGCATACATGCCAGCACAGATCTGGTCTCAATCAAGAGCAAACACATCTACGCCCTTCTTGAGAAATCCTAACCAGTCGGGAGTCTTGGGCTGCTCACCAAACTCCTCTCCAGGGCGGCCCGTGCTGCGGCGGTACTGGTAGCGACCTCCGCCTCCGGGGCCGCCTCGCTGGGCAACCCACTCACGAAGCTGTTGCGGCGCTGCTGACGCTGCTGCTGCTCCCGCTGCCCACCCCCAGAACCTCCGCTTCGACCAGCTGCACTACCAGACGCAGCTCCTCAGGTAGCCGAACCAGAACATCCACCCCCGCCAGCTCCACCCCGACCACCATCCGTGCCCCCTCCACCACTCCCACCACCCCCAATGCCTCCACCTCCACCGCCACCACCACCTCCACCACCCCCACCTCCACCACCACCACCACCCCCGCCACTGCCAGTGCTAGCGCCCCCTCCACCACCCCCACCGCCACCACCCCCGCCACTGCCAGTGCTAGCGCCCCTCCACCACCCCCACCGCCCCCACCCCTAGTACGCGCACCCTTGCCGCCGCGGCGCCTCCCGCTAGGGGCAGACGCAGCACCGACCTCTTCAGCTCTAAGGAAGTCAACAGCAGCAGCAGAGGCAACAGCAGGCGCTAGGAGGGAGGAAGAGCACCCCTCAAAGAAGGAGGGGAGGGGAGTGCCACGGGAGGCAGCTACAGCGTGGGCAATGGTTTCAGCCTCGAGGAGACGGGACTCAAAGAGGCAACGGTGATCTTTGTGGGGTCTAGGGAGAGAAAGTAGTCTCAACGGTGCGCAGAAAGTCAGGGAGGCGAGCCGTGAGGAAGTAGAGAGTGAGATACATGGGGGGCTGTTTCGTAGTCAGAAACGCTGGTGGGAGAGCAGCACGGTAGCGCGTGTCAAGGGAGCGCAGGTGAGTAATGAGGTCGGCTGCAGTGGAAAATTCTGACAGCTCAGGGAAGAGGAACGGCAGTGCCAGACGGCCTAAGGCAGCAGAAGAGGGGGAGGAGTAGCGCTTGACTACAGCGTCATAAAGCGCGTTGGCCGTCTTCAGCTGGTGGAAGTGAGGCCTCTGGTCTAGCGGGAGGTGGTTGCGAACAGCAAGCTGGGCAATGGCGTCGTGCGAAAGCCTGTCAAACGCATCAAGGTTGGGGAAAAAGAACGAGGCGGCCGACGGAGGCAGAGGAAGGAGTGGAATAACAAGAAATGATAGCGTCAAAAAACTGCTTCGCAGATATGACCTGGCTGCAGTGAGTGCCCTTAGTCGACGGAAGAAGGCCAGTCAGAGCGAGACGAGCAGTGGCGTCGCGGGAATCCCAGACGGAGTACGCAGGCACCGCCTAGCAAACGTCTCGCGCTCTGCCTCAGTGGGCTCGGTATAAAGCTGGGTGGGACACGGAGGAGCGGGCAGGTCACCGGACGTGTGGGCGAACAGAGTGTCGTTGTCCTAACGCTGGCTCCTAAGGTACAGCTGGGCATTGAGCAGCCACGTGCTAAAATCTATCGCTCGGCCCTCGGCATCGAAGCGCAGACCCTAGCAAACGCCATGGTGCAGGAAACGAGCTACGAACTGCGGGCCACGAACGGCTGGCTAGGAGCGGCTAGGAATGGCTAGAAACGGATAGGGACGGCCAGGAATGGCTTGGAACGGCTAGGAATGGCTAGGAACGGCCAGGAACGGCTATGAACGGCTAGGAACGGCTAGGAATGGCTAGGAAACCCTCAACGGCGCTAAGGATAGGTATTGCGGCTTCTAGCCGCGGTTGGGAGTGTCTCTGGCGGAGGGGATGGTGTGGGACGGCAGGCACAGGGGAAGGGTGGCGACTGGGTGGCTAGCGGGACGCGCTGCTAGCTGGCAGGGGGGCGTGCTAGCAGGGCGTGCACTGGTCAACGAGGCGCGCGATAGCAGCGCGTGCGGGCTGGCTGGCGGGGCGCTGGCGTACGCGCGCTGGTGTGCGTGTGCTGGCTGCGTGGGCTGGCGTGGGCAGGCATGCGCTGTCGTGCGCTGGCGTGCGTGCGCTGGCGTGCGCGCGGGCGGCAGGCATGGAGGCTACTGCGTGAGCTATGCGCTGCTTGCTGGCTGGCGGCGGGCGCGCGCTAGCGGGTTGCGGCCGCTAGCGGGCTGGCGGCTGACTGGCTAGGGCTGGCTGGCTGGCATTTGCTGGCTGGCTAGGGCTGACGGGACAGGCCGGCGGACTGGCGGGCGGACTAGGAGCTAGGTAAGCAGGCGGTCCACGGCCTAGGAACGAACCTACGATTATACCACGTCATAATGTGAACAGCGGAATGAAATGAATCCCAGTGGTCTAGTGGCTGGGGTTTTGAGAAGATCAGTGTTACTACCATGATTTTTTATGTACCGTAAGATTGTTAAGTACACTCATAAAAATTGGTCTGTTCAGGCCCAATTTGCCCCTAGCTGCCACGAGCAAAATGCAAGATGGGAAAGGGGGGTGGATTGAGGCATCATCTGTACCCTATTTTCCCCTCTCGCCTTCCGGCCTTGGCTGGGTGGCTGGCTGCCGGAACCGGAACCTTGATTTGGAAGAATGCAACATTCTTAGGAACAGTAGATGGACAGAAATGGAAGGTGCGTAAAAGGAACTCCTATTGGACCGCAAATTGGACTCCCACAACACGACAAATTTCTCGCCAGTGTACTTCCTCCGTGAACTGGGCCACCCTTCTTCTATGTTATAAACCTTTGAAGTGGAGAGTTGATAGTTGCAGAGCGGCCTTAAAAAAGGGATCCACGCTTCTAAAGGACTTGTAGTCCCGTGGACCCAACTTGGTACACCACAAAAAAATAAATGAAGAAGAATATCCCGAATGAACGGGGTGGACTGGACACAGCCTAAGCAGTTCATTTGAGTCACCCTCGTTATTCCTGTTCCGGCGCTTGCTCAATCTCGCTTATAATAATAACTCAACATAACAGTTGGAGGCTGTTGTCGCCGTCCCTCATGCGTCGCATGCCTCGCCAGCTGTCGCCTCGATGGCTGCTGCCGCGCTGGCAGCAGCTGCTGGTCTCTCGGGCCGTGCTGCCTGCGCTGCGAGGAATCGCACACGTCGAACCGGACGGGACGAGCTGTTGGCAGGGCGGGTCCCGCGAGAGGGACGGCGAGGCACGCGCGGACGGAAGGGAGGGGGACGCGCGGCCACGAGGACGGGTTGAGGGGGCGGAGGGACTTGGGGGGGGAGTGGGTTTAGCCCGAGGACGGGGAGTCGACGCGAGTGGAGGAGGGGCGGCGGTAGACGCGGGTGGAGGGCACGGGTGGTGCGAGGAGCGCCGTTCC